ATTAAAATATCATGTTATACACTTTTAAAACACATAATGAGAAAGGACTGGGGGTGTTTCATTGGTAGAACACTTGCTTAGCATGAGTGAGGGCCTGGATGCAATTCCCAGAAAGCATAACCTTTATTTTATTTTATTTATAGAAAGTCTGGTGTGTCACTCAGTGGTAGAGCATATGCTTAGCATGCCTGAGGCCCTGAGTTCCATCCAGCACACACACACACACACACACACACACACACACACACACAAAATTTAAATTAAATGAAAGTAAAATACCATTCCAACTTATCCTCTGACTTGTGCAGTGAGATCCTTCTGTGTCTTGAACTGACTGTTCTTCTGATGTGTGATCTATAACTGAGCAGGAAGAGCTAAGTCATGACTCTCAGCACAAGGACCCTCTGCAGGCAGCTGCTGCTCATCGCTGAGAGCTGCCTGTGTCACTGTACCCACTGGACCTGCTATGGGCCACCTCCTCGCAGACCTCTGGCTGCGCACCATCATTTCGTGCACAAGGATATCAGCCTGAGAGGCCAAGCCAATCGCTTCGCAGTGTGCACCACAGCTGCAGGTTTCCTTGACCTACCAGTCCCGCGGCCCGGTCCAAAGGAACAGTGAATTTGCTTTCATGTGAGCTGTGCCTATGAACCTAGACTTGAGCATGTGTCACTACTACCCTGCGACTCTGGCAAATATTAATGGAGGCCCTGCCCTTTGCGTCAACACGGCCACGTCAGTCTGATGCGCACAGGGCTGATTCAAGGGAGGGAATTCTTCATAAATGCACAAGAAACCACGGAGGACTCGGGCACTGGCAGCCGCAGGGCTCACCTAGCATACATCCTAGGAGGACACCAGCCCCTTCCTCCACGGCCCGTGTGGACAGCAGACAGGAAGGGCGCACTCCAGGGCTGCCACCATTTCCTACTAAACTGTCCCAGCAGCCCCTGCAAGGGCAAGTCCTCAGGCCTGCCCAGCTTCTGAGTCCCTCACCTGTTCCATGAACCAGGGCTCTGGTAGCCTGGAAAGCCTGTCCCTCCTCTCCTCCCCACTCCACCAGCGCTGCCAGGAAAATTCATTCTCCATTCTCCAGGTCGGCTTGATGGACGGATGTTGCAAAGGACCCCACCACAGTGAGAGAATTCCAATCTGTTCATCCCATTTCCAGTTTAACCCAAGGAAACCATCTACGGAGCCTGCCGTCCTGCCACAGACCAGCTAGTGGACCACTTGTCAGCTTCACTTTCAGAGAAAAGTGCTGCTCCCCTTGGAGGTGCGAACCAACCCTCTGTGTTTGCAGAGCCACAAATCTTCCTGATTGGAACACTGCTTAAAATGATTACAAATAGCCCCACAATCTCTGTTCTCAGCACACAGGGGCTCTTTTCACATTTCTTCAATGGTTTATTGCATAAATATTATGTTTGCTGTCATTCTTCAGTGTGTAGGTGGGATCATCGCCAGGAGCCAGAGACAGTGAGAAATGAGCCTCCAGGTGTTGCTGCCCTGAAAAGATTCCTTTAACAACCAGTTATTAGGACTGAGGTCACTGTCAGCGGCAGCTATTAGGGAGGGTTCTGCTGTAGGGAATCCTGAAAGAAATCCCACCCCGTTTGGCAGCTCTGGGACATGTGTGAACACAGCTGCTATTAAGGAGACAGAACCGAAGGCCCGTGTGTTGAACGCAGCTGAATCAAGCGCAGTCAGCTCTTGCTCTGCTCCAGTGAGTAACACCTGATGCTTGGAATGCGACAGCCCTACACAAAGTGTGTACTTTCCAAAGCAGGAAGACGTATATCACTTAGTCTGTCCTAACAGCACAGTGCGAGCCCAGACATGACGCTTCCCGACTGCTTTGAGACGCAGACTCTGAGAATCCCAAGGACTCAGTCCAGATTTCTGGATCAGCAGAAGGGTCAGGACTGGAATTCAGGTTGTTTCCAGCAAAGACATCGACTTTTCAATGAACAGGATAGGGAAGGAAGATGGAAAAAGTGTGCATTGGACCAACATGCACTACTAGGACGTGAACCCTCACTCTCCTCACTGCTAACGGCGGCCTGAGGCTGCCACTCAAGTGCTCTGGGTTCCAGTCTCCTTTGCTGCAGAATGAAAGCACAAAGACTGGCACACACAGGCTCTGCACCCACGGAAATCTGCTGAAGAGCAAGTGCAACTAAATAAAGGAGAATTGTGAGGGGTGCTGCTGGAGGGGAAAATAAAAGCTTTTTTGGCTTTGTGAAAGCCAACGTTTCCAAAACTTGCGTTACCCTGCCCACCTTTCTCTGAACACCTGTCAGCTGCCCTGACACACTGTGCTAGAGGAGCGGGTGCATCTCCTGCCCCGCTGGGTGTGGAGTCTGTGGCCGAGAAGACCTCGTGGGGTAGAGCCCAGTGGGGCCTCCAACCCAGCCACTGCTGTTTTACACAGCGCTCAGAGTGAGTTTCCCGGTGAAGGTGAAGCACGCTGCCCTTTCTCCTGGCCACCTAACTTTGAATACATACACACTGCTTTCACTCTCAGTCTATGAGGGAGAAAATAATAATAATCAGGAAGGCCAGTACAGTGCAAGTCTGCAATGTATTTCTGTAGCAGATAAGAATTTTCTCTTACGGATACTGTGTCGGTTGGCTATAACCGTTAAAAAAAAAGTACCTGAGATAATCAACTTTTCAAAGGAACGGTTTCCCATGGCTCAAATTTTGAGGGTTTCAGGCCTCAGTGGGGTGGCCCCATGGCCAGGGGCTCAGGGGGCCACATCATGACGACAACATACAGAGGAGGAAGTGAGTCGGTTCATGATAGAAAGAGAAGAATCTGGCGCAATGCGTCCCTGGTGACCCGGGACCTCCTGCCCCTCTTCTTAATTCACCACCATCCAGGCCACCAAGCTGAGGATCCGGCCTTTGCCACACGGGCTCGGGGCATCTCAGAGCCTCCCTGCACAGCAGGTGTTAAGGTTTGGAGTGAACCCAGCTCCCGTTCAGCAGCCTAAATTTAAAAACATTTAAGTTTCTCCCTAGGAGGAAGTATAAGAAAGAGGATCGCACTTCTATCATCACGAAGAAATTGCTGATCATGTTGTTGCATCTGCACAAACATCTTTGTGAATGTTACCCCCGTAGAGGGAAATGAGCCCTGTGGTGCAGTGGAGCAGCAGGAGCAGGGCAGGGGCCACAGGAATCGTGACCTTGAGCTATCCTCACCTCCCCATAGAACACAGCAGGGCAGGGCAGCAGCCTGGCAGCTCACAGCTGAGGGAAAAAGAGCATCCTTGCATGGTAGGCAGCCGGCCCAACTTTACCAGCAGATACTTACAGTGCTTACCATCCTGTGGTGGCGTGGACTTAACGTCATCTACAGGTGCTGACCCTGAAGGCAGCGCTGTCCAAACACAGCCAAGGCTCAGAACAGGAAGCAAGAATCTCGCTGCTAGCTGCACCCAAGCACCGCAGCCCAAGAGCTGCACTAAGCTATTGAGGGAAAACATGGAATAAAAACATCCCTAAACCTTCATCGTGGCTATAAACAAAACACAGTCTGTCCATGAGTGGGACACTCTTCAGCCCTTAAAAAGAAGAAAATGCTGACCATGCCACGACTTGGGTAAACCTTGAGAACATGGTGCTAAATGACAGAAGCCAAACAATTGTACCAACACTGCACATTCACCTCTCACACGGTGTCCAAAGGAGAGACATCCACAGAGAGAGAAAGTGGGAGGTGGAGATCAGGGGTTGAGGAGGGGATAGTATAGGGGGTTCCGAGTTGGAAAGGTTCTGGAGATGGACGTTGGTGACAGCTGCATACCACATGAAGGTGCTTATGCCACTGAACCATGCACTGGAAATGATTACACGGTGTTTTACAGTGTGAGTATTTCGCTACAAATTTTAGCACCAGCTACCTTTTAATTCTCCCCAGAAGTCACAGACACTCTTATACACTGTCCCTTGGAAACACAAAGCACACGTCTTTCTCATCCTGGCCTCCTAACCAGGAACAACAGTGACACAAGCTGCCACTCCTTGCCCAACCTGGAGAGGCTGGAGCCCTGGGAGGAGTTAGATTGTTCCTGAAGCAGTGGTTTTGGTTGAGCCTGGAATTAGCTCTTGCAAAGGGCTGAGGGCCATGCCTTGGCATTTGCTCATGGAAAGCTCCATTTCTCGGCACAACTTCTGCCTCTCTCCCGGCGCACTTAGTGCGGTCTCCGGCGGTGAAGGCATCGCATTTTGGCAGAGGTTTTCCATGACTCGTAAGCTTTCACAATCCTTGCTCTGCAAAATGTTTTCATGAAACACCTCTGGCCATAAGTGCAACACAAACAAGTCGCCCCGTGAGTCATAAGACTTGAACACACGCTAAGTCCATGTAATGATCTTTATGTAATTTGCTCCTTAGTCATTGTCTAGCCCATTAGGTAAATATGCAGTGTGCACCTCTTCTAAAATAAGGGCCTCTATAAAAACTCCCGTTGTAAATAGACTGAGCAATACAACATTCCACAACAACTTTGACTAAAAGGAGATTTTTAAAGATAAAAGATTTGTTTTGAAGTCATTCAGAATGAAATATCAAACAGGATTTCCCCAAGTCTACTCTGGGCAGTGAATGCTTTTTATTAATTGCATAGAGAAAAAAAATCCCCAGGACCTAGAGGCAAATGCTCAAGTCTTTCAATGCAGGTCAACTTTGAGAGGAACAGAAAGACAATCAGCCCTACTAACAAGGTAGAACACAGAGGTCAAACATTTGGCTTCCTTTTGTGATCCTGACCTTGGCCATGCCCACAGAAGAAGGTGGCCAAACCCAGCACTGCCCTGCGGGGAAAGAGGCTACCAAGAAAGACAGCTCATCTGGTCTCAGCACATGCAATAAAAAAACTGAGCTGTTCTTTGCTCACAAGGTGTAGGGACAAAGGTTAATCATGCTTCTATACCTAAGGCAGAACTACTGGGGTTTTTCCTTATACAAATAGTCCATGACTTATGACGGCTCCACTTAGGATCTTTTTTATTTATGATGGTGTGAAAGAATATCCGTACAGCCACTGTTTTTCAGTTTTAGTACAGTATTCAGTAAATTACATGATATAGTCAACATTTTATTACAAAGCTGACGTTGGGTTAGGTGATTTTGCCCAACTGTAGTGAAGGTAAGTGTTCCAAGAATAGTAAAGGGAGGATGGGTTAAACTAGGAAGTTTAGTGAGCTAGGTATAGTGAATGCATTTTACAATTACAATATTTCAAAATATTATGGTTTTACTGAGCATAACATCCGAATGTAAGGTGGAGAGAAGTGAATCTCACTAGGTGAAATTCCACTGGCAGTTCCAAGAAAAGCACCTTTACACACACTCACACACATGCATTCACACGGACTCACATGTAACACTCACATGCACATCCACTCTCACATGTTCATACACTTAATGGTATACTAAAGTACATGCATAGATTCTCACACCTGTGAATACCTACTTTCACACATGCACTCACACTTACACATAAGCACACATACATCACACACATGCACCTTCTCTCGCAGCTGTTCTGTTCAGCATTGGTAAGCACAAGACATCAGCACCCCCCCACCCCTGCAGCCTGGATGGACACTACTGCCACCTATGACACGGCACTGTCCCCCCAAGTCCAGGATTGACACTTCAATCCTCCAGCCAGCACCTGATATTAACCTTGTGTATGCTTCCTGTCCTGTCCATCTTCACTCGTGAATCCGAGAGAAAAGGTTAAGTGTAAGTTGATGTCACATTGGTTGGGCATAGTTCACTTTTGCACATCTGTCTTGAGGAAAAGAGATACATTAATGCAAAGATGGCTCATGTAAGGCTTCTTACTGTCAATCCAAGTCTTCTGCCAGCCTGTTATTATTACCCAAAAGAGCACACGAGCAAGGAAGGACCCTCCAGTGGCTCTGATGTGGGGCACGGACCTGGCAGGGCCCAGTGCAGACTCGGTGACGCCCTCCTAGAATAGACTACTTCCTGCAACTGTGCAGAAACAAGACGGGGTGCCCTCGATACCCCAGGGTTCTGGCAGCTTTCTCCACATCTCTTCTTCCTGCAAGAAGAAAGAAAACCATATGGTTCAATTCAGCAAGCGAGCTGGATGGAATTAACCAATTAAAGTTAATTTTACTAGATCAAGTTCAAAATATTTGATAGCTTTCCCCCTTCTTTTTCACTCTGTGTATATGTCCAGGGGCACAAGGGACTAGCACATAAGTGTTTTTCAAGAAAAAGGGAGGGAGGACAGGAATTTTCTAGTTGAGTCAGTTTCATAGAAAATAAAAAGGAAGACAGGTATAGCTGTGAGTCTCTGAGTCTCCGCCATGACTTCCTTCAGCCCAGTAAGTGGCGGTTTTGACAGTTAATGGTCAACAGGAGAAAGAGCCTAAAGAGGCCAAAAACTGACAGAGGAAACCAGAACTTTCTAAAGAACGCTTCAAGTAGCATTGATGACAAGTTTCTTTGCCACATATCACAGAGAGGGATACAGCCCAAAGGTATCTGTGGGGAAGGGCCATGGCTAGGATATCTGGCTCTTCCTACCAGCTCTTTGTTCTGAATAGAAAAAGTGGAGCCAAGAGGAACAATGACTTCCAGCCATGTCTGCAGACTTAAGAGGACAGAGTCAGGGGAAAATTGCATGACCACAGGAAAAGGATGGACCTTGCTGGGTTGCAGTCAGCCCCTGAATCCTTCCTTTCTCCCTTAGAGAACAGCCCACAATCACCCCCTCTCCAGCACCCCATCTCCAGTGGGTGCCCCTGCCTTTGAGTAAACAGACCATATTGCAATGGGCATAATACACAGGAGCAGAGGTGTGGATTATGCGTCATGTGAAGTGCACTACTTAAAAATCAAGCAGAGGAAGGCTCAGTAAAACACAGCAGGGTTTCAGCTTTCACAGCACACACCTCAACACACACCTCAGAGTACACACCTCAGGCTGGGCCCCAGCCCCCCTCCCACCTCTTTCTGGGGAAATCTAGTTTCCTGTCACCCTTCTAGACTGGGCTCACTCAGGAGTGACTTCCTCAGTGAACCTCCCCCGGAATACTCTCCTTGTCTGGGCTCCCCTAGAACCCCACGTTTGTAGAGCACCCCATTGTTACTGATGGTTCATTAGCTTGCTTCATGGGAACTGGAATTCTTTGAAAGAGAAAATGTCTTTCATCTCTGCATCTGCAACTCAGTGCCTGATTCAGTAACTGTTGGGTGAACGATGCTGATCACAGACCCACAGCAGTCTGACAAGGGTCTTCATGGAGCATCTGTCTTCAGCTCTCAAACTGAAAGGCACTACAGCAGATGAAGAATGAGTAGCCATTCTTGTCCCTCCCTGACTAGCTTCCACTTTTGTTGGGAAAGCAATACATGGGATACTATATCCGGCAAGAATGACACAGTTGGGTGGCACACTGTACACTATAAGTGAATTTCCAATGTGACCCAGCAGACACGGCTGGGAGAGCTATTTGGGAAACTGCAAGAAGGTGGACAAGTGTCCTGAGCATTTGGGAGTTTGAAAGGGAGACATTTGGAAGAAAGGAGGGTGATGAGAAAAAGAAATAACAGAACTGAAAGGCAGGGGCCACAGAGTTGTGTATTAGTCCGTTTCATGTTGCCATAACAGAATCCCTGACACTGGTCATGCACAAATAAAAGAGGTTTCTATTTGTTCTTGATTCCAGTGAGTGGAAGCTCCAAGCAGTATAGTACTGGAATGCTATCGGGGCATCTTGTCTGCATCACTACAAGCAGACAAGCAGAAGGGGAAATAGCCACAGGAATGGGTGACCTTGCTTGATGACAATCTACTCTCACGAGACCAGCAGTCATCCCTTTCCAGAGCGGGGCACCCCGACCTAATTACACCCCACAGGCTTCACCTCATAGCCTCCACACCAGCAGCCTGGAGACCAATTTTCCAGAGCACGAACTTTCAGGGACTCCTCCATATCCAATCCATGGCGAGTTGTGAGCCTCAACTCTGAGCTTTCGGTCTTGCTGTGGAACACCTGCTGCAGCTCTGTCATGACTGCATGAGCTTTGGTAAGTTCCTCTGATGCTCTCTGCCTCTGACTTCTCTATAAAATGGGAAAATCAGAGGAACAACTGACCCACAATTGTGTGAGGATTAAGTAGACAACACATGTGAAGCCCTAGCAGGGGGCTGTGCACAAACCTGTCTTCCAGATTAGCCATGGCGCACACCACGTGGAGACCAGCCCAGCCTGTGCATAGGACAGGGATGGAGAGCTTCCTTGAGCAACATTGAGAAGTATGGTCGGCCTGATTGCAGAATGCTGGAAAACCAGAAATTAACTCAAATATGAAGTGTACAGAAGCAGGGAGCCTCAAGAGGGGTTCTGTTGGCCACACTGAGGAGCTGGAGCCCCTCGCCCATTCAGACCCTCTTTAGGTGACCCCCGGACAGCAGCAACACCGCCAGGGGGAACACAGTCCTCCCAGCTCCCAGCATGGCTCACAGGGTACCCACAAATTAAATGTTTTCCACCCTCACTAACCCTTCTGTAGTGCGGTGATTACGGGGTGGGGTTTTGTTTTGTTCCTCCTAACAAAGAGTGCCTAAAATAGGCTCAAGTACAGTAATTTCTCACCTCACTTGGCCTGGCTCCGTAAATTTAGTTCAGATACAAAACTACACTCCTCAGTGCCCTCAGCTTCAGGATACAGAAGATCCTGGGCCTCCCAGGGTGGTGGAAAAGTTAGCATCTGTCAGACCTGCCCAACACGTGGACCGCACAGCCCTGGTGTTTCATCCAAACACAAAAAACGGGGCCTCTCCATATCTTACTATTCCTGAGGTCCACTTTCTGGATTTTTTTCTTTCCTCTCTTTGCTAGCTTGATTCTCCCTGACAGAAAAGAATGGTTTTCCTTCTCGGTACCCTTGTGTGTGCAGTTATTTCCTTCCCTTCTGCCCTCCAGAACTCTTCTGTTATGAATTTCCATATTTCCTTCCCACCGTGGAAGCTAGGACACTGTATGTTCCTCGCTCCCACAAGGTTTTGAGTTCAGTCAGCACAAGAGGTGCTCACCAGAGTCCGTTGTTACTGTGACTTTAAAGAATCTGCAAACTAGTTGTGAAACAACTCTGTGTAGAAATATTTACCTCACAGAAATTGGCATATGCTATAAACCATGGTTTGATGTATTATTTGACAACTGTCTACACTGCGGAAACACTAAAAAGTTAATGGGTTAGACTGTTAAACTATTAACAAATTGGCAGATTAAGCTTTAAAATGTGTCTTATCTGTAGACATGACATTGTGAAAAACACAAAATAATTGAGGAAATACTTTTCTGGAATTTGAAAAAGACTGTTTGATTCAGCAGAGGAGTTGCTCACGTCCTGTCTTCATTTTTCCACTTTCGTCTCACTTGCAAGGTAAACAAAAGTGCCAAGCAGCATTCACAGTGGAACAGTCGGCCGTCACTGAGCCATTGACAGGCAGAGCACTGCCTCTGCATCCTCGTCCTCAACACGCGCTTCCTCGGGGTGGGTGTCTTTGGTCATTTCACATCCATGCATGCTGAGATACCTCCCCTGCCTCCTGGTTGATCCATCCTTCAGCATCATATCAGCATACTGAAGACTTCCCTGCACACCCACATTCACTTGCCCCACTATTCACAATAGCTAAAATACAGAAGCCACTGAGAAGCCTGGGAATGGGTGATGGGACAAAGAAAACACAGTGTATTTACATGCAGTGGAAAATCATCCAGCAGTAAAGTGAATACCCTGTCATGTGCAGCTAGGTGAACTAAGTCAGACACAGAAGGATAAATATTACATGTTCACTCATATCTGCAGATGCTTTTTTCCAAGTCAATCTAAATGTAGAATAGCGAATACTAGAGTCTGGAAAGGCTTGAGGGAAAAGATAAAAGGGGACTCAGAGAGGTGGATAGCCAGTACCGGTACCAACCACTGACAGACAGAAACAACATGCTCCAGGGCTCTACAGCACAGTGTACAGTGAACCATACCTCATAATAACCTATTATGTATTTTATGAAGAACTACAAGAGAGGAGCTTGAAACCTCCACATGCAACATAAAGATAAGGACAAGGAAGTATTCGTTACCTGATTTGGTCAGTACCTGTTGTACACATGTGTTGAAATATCACACCGTATCTCATAAATATGCAAAATCATTATCTGTTCATCAAAACTTTTAGGAATGTGTAAGGAAATGGGACTGTGAACTACCCTGATGCTATCATGACACACTCGTTACATACTCACACAACATGAATGCTGCATGCTTCGTGTAACACGCCAAATTATTAAACTGTACCTGATAAATATGTACAATTGAAATAATGACTGACAAATAATCTCCCTTTCATGGAGCAGACAGGACCCCAGTCCTTTCTTGGCCGTGCCCCTGGCTCACAGCCCCTGGAGTTCGTAAGTTTCCCAATGGTAAGATGCACCTGAAACTGCCAAATAACTAAAATAGCACTGTAAACACACTCCGTGTAAATAAAGGGAAGGAAGCTAACTTGCCCTCAGGCTGGGCATTATCGAGTATTTGGGACGGACTTTAAGGAATCAACCTGGCTTCATCTTTCCACACTGTTCTGCACATTCAGAAAACTTGCAGCCGGGTACAAATTTGAGGGCGCCTTGCAAACTAATGGCGCCTAAGTCAGCTAATTGGAGGGGCAGGGAGCCAACTACGCTTCCCATTAGGCAGCTGCTGTCGTAACTCCTTTACCAAGAACAATGATCATTTTTAGATAGTGCTAACAGTTTTCCAGGTAGGCACAGGCACTGCGTGGTTACTCTTCCCAGCGAGCTTGCAGGCCGTGCCCATCTCACAGATGCAGAGTCGCACAGAGGGCAAGCCCAGCCGGGCAGAGGCTTTGGCTCACGGCCTCTAACTGCCACCAGATGATGGGGAGAAATTTGTGACCTCAAACTGACAAACAGCACCGCATCGCTGCTGGGCTTAGCGCTGCTGAGAGCCGCACACACACCATGTGTGCTCGAAGCTTTAGCAGAGACCCACAGCCTCTCGCCGTGGGGCCCATCCTCTCCACTTGTCTCCTCCCACTCTTTCCGTCTTCCTCCGCGTGCCCTGGCTCCAGCCGCAACAGTCTGTGCCGCTCCATGTAAGCAACATACTCCAAGACACCACCGTCTTTGCAGGCCCTCTGGTGCGTACCTCCCTTCCTCTGCACTTAGGAAAACCTCCCCGTAACTGAGCTCGGCTGTCTCCACTCCTGAACAGTCTCCCAAGCACCCTCAAGGGACGCTGGTCGCTGCAGTTCTGTACTCACAGACAAAGCTGGCTCACGTGCCATGGCATCTGAGCCTTCCCTTCTGTGCTTCTCTTCACAACGAGACTACAAACTTTCCAGGGCAGTGATACTTCTCACTCTTCTCCCATCTTCCCTGTCTCTGAGAGCCAGCTACGTGCTCCCAACAGCCTGCAGGGTGGAAGAGTGAACTCAGCCTGACCCGGGAGGCTATGGGTATTTAATTCTGGCCCCTCTGACTGAGCAGCGGGAGCAGCTGAGGAGGACGCTCCAGGCTCCCTTGGGCTCTGATGAAAACACACGACAGACCCAGAGGGTGGCTCAACCCAGGATGCACCTGCAGGAGGCAGCCTCCTTCCAGGAGAGGCAGGAGGAGCCCCCACCCCATCTGGGCAGAGCCAGGAGGGCTGCCCCGAGGAAAGGCCCCCTGTGCAGCCTCTAGTGTCTCCACTTATTGTGGGAAAACATCTGCCCGTGAGACGTGAGGTTCCTGATCAAAGTGGTTTGATATGTTTTCTACGGAATTGGTTTGCATTTGAAATGTCCTCTCCTGACACAAGCATCAGAGCTGACCCAGTGGCCCAGGCTGGCGTGGATGTCTCTCCACCACCCTCACCACAACGTCACACTGGCCTCAGACGCCAAAGCCGGTCACCTCCTGGAGCCCTTCTGCATCACCTTCTCCGCTCTGCCCACTGCTCACCCGTGTCACAGTCACTTCCAAGTGGACTCCCTGTCACCATAAGAACTCCCCACATTTAATTCCAGGGCCTCAGCTGCCTCCTCCTTTCCACCAAGGTAAATCCAAAGCCTAGACCCGGCATTCGAGTTTGTGACCACCTCATCTATCTCTGCCACGCATCCCCCATGTGCCCTGTCTTACTTTTCTTGTTGCTGGGACAAAATACCCAACACCCAAAGTTAAAGGAGGAAAGGTTTATGTAGCTCACAGTTTGCAGAGGTTTCAGTCCATAATCAGCTGGCTCCAGGGTAGGGTGGCTTTGCAAAAGAGAACAGTTCATGGAGGAGGAAGACAGCAAAATCAACAACAGAGAACCAGTTCATGGTGGCGAGTAGGTAGCAAAGCAACAAGGGATATTAACAGAGTCTTTCTGTCCCTTTTATTCACTATCTAGACTACAAGGATTAGGGTGGTGCCAAACCAATCAGTGAACTGATTTAGTAATCACCCACCCTTAATCCCAGCATCACACATGCTAGATGCAGCCACCTCTGAAGAAGCTCCACCTATGACTACATGAGGCTCTAGGGGGGCGTGTAGACACAAGCCATAGTATAACCCAGGATCAGCCTCTTCCACGGAGCAGCAGAAGAGTGTACATTCACTCAGTCAGATGTGTGCCTTCCTGCCCCCACACCAGGGACAGTGCATTGAGTGACAGTGGTGAGAGTGGGACATGCCCCCATGGGGTCTTCAGGAGACTCCAGCTATCTCTAAGGCTTAAGAATCTATCTGTAATGGGATACTGCTAGGCTATAAAGAAAGACAAATTTAGACATTTGTAGGAAACTGGATGTTCCTGGAAAATATAATGTTGAGTGAAATAAATCAGATGTACAAACTTGACTATAGTATGGTATCTCTCATCTGAGTAAGGCAAAGTACAAACAAAGTGTAACGGTTGATACATTCTGTCAACTTGAGAAGTTGTCCTTACTTTGCAAATATCCAGGGTCCTTACTTTGTAAATATCCTGAGCCTGTGCAAGAGGACAGTAAGGAGATGGTGTGGGCGGTAGTATGTTTACTGCATACAATATAAGGGAGGAAAAGAGGCTTGCTCTCCCCCCACCCTTTTTACTCTTGTTGCTTTGGCTGTTTTTTGCCACCTTGAAGTGTTGCCCCTGTGCCCTGTCACCCTGCCTTGGAACCAGCTGATTATGGACTGAAACCTCCACAAACTGTGAGCTAAATAAACATTTCCTTCCTGAATTTTGGGTGTTGGGTATTTTGTCTCAGCAATGAGATAAAAGTAACCACGACACTAAAAGAAATAAAGGAAGCATCTAATGAGACAGGGGACAGATCTCCTGCAGATGGGCGGGCAACCAGGGGACCGAGGGGGAGGGGGAGGGGTGGGGCACAGGTAGAGTGAAGATGTGCCTTGTACATGGTCCTAATAACCGCAATGAACATGGACATCATATGCCGTAACATGAATGGAGATTAACAATATCAACAGGAGTGAAAAGGGGGAAAGGAGAACTAGAGGAGGAGGGAAAGGAGGGAAGAGGATGAAAGGATAGAAACAAGCTGTGCTATGTACATGTACCAACTCCCTGAGCTGACTGTGAAACACATGTACTGCACACATGTACCAATAGAGGAAAAAAGAACTGTTCAGTGAGCAGACTCTTAAGAATATGCTTCATTGAAAGATACATGTGTTAAAAGAATTGTTTTCAACCCTCGCATGGCATTGGTGGACATGAAAGGTGCTGCTGCCATGAGAAACCGTGTGGTGGTTTTTGAATTATCATCTGATGCACCAGTTGCTCACTGGATATGTTCCCACAAGAAGGGAAAGCTTGGCGTCCAAGAGATGTGTGCACACCCATGTTCATGGCAGCAGTGTTCACAACAAAAAATAGGTAGATGCAACCCAAATGTCCACCAGCTGAGGAGTGGATTAGCACAACATAGCTTACAGATGCAGTGGAATGTTATTCAGCTTTAAAAAGGAGGGAAGTTTTGACCCATGCTACAGCATGGAGGAACCTTGAGGAAGCTACATGAAATAAACCAGTCACCAAAGGACACATACTGTCAGATTGCACTTATGAGAAGTGGTTGCCGGGGTCTGCGGGAGGGAGAAATGTGCAGTTAATATTTATTGGATACTGAGTTTCAGTGTGGGATGATGAAAACATTCCGGAGATGGTCACACACACGATGTGAATGCACCAAGTGCCAATGAAAATGCACTTAAAATCGATTAAACAGTCAGGCATGGTGGCACCACCAGCAATCCCAGCACTCTGAGGCTGAGGCGGGAGGATCGCCACAACTTTGAGACCAGCCTGGGCTACACAGTGAATCCAAGGCCAACTTGAACTACATGAAAGACCCTGTCTCAAAAACTGATTCAACAATACATTTTATGTTGCGTGTATATTACCACAATTTAAACAGATGTTTAAGTGATAGAATCAGAAGTATTTGGGTCCACAGATTTTGGTGTGATCATTAATGCCCATTTCCCAGTCACACTTAAATTCTGGAAGGGTAAAGCAGGGTGGTCGCATGCCATGTCGTGTGGCCGACTCTCATGCCATGTCTAGTCGCCCACTGCTGGGTGGCATTACCACTCCCTGTGCCCTCCTCCAGAGAGTGGTGGCACAGGATCGACTAACGTATGGGAAGGGCTCATTGGAAAAAGAGAGTGAGCACACACTGCCCCGTGGGCTGGAAAGTCAAGTAAGGTTTGCCCAAGACACAGTCACCGCATGGAAAGAAGTAGGCAGCACTTTTAGAGCCAGGGAAGAGTCTGAACAATGATGTTGGCCATTAATGGGAAAGGAGAATGTCAGAGGGCCTGAGGAAAAAGAAGTCTTCATAAGTCCCCTCAACGCTGCGATGCGGTGGAAATAATAGGGGACAGGTTTGAGAGGAGCCCTGTGATCCAGCGTTTTCTTTAAGATTTCAAAGACAGAACAATCCTGGGTCAAGACAAGGGCTTGAACTGGCCCCAGGAAATGATAGCTTATGTGAAGCACAGGTGAAAAAAATCACTACTGAGTAGAAGGTGAAGCAAGGGACAAGCCAGAGGCTTGGGCGGGCCCCACAGGGACACTGAAGGGGCTCGAGGTGACTCGTGGGAGGGCAGAAGACTTTGAGTCAGTGGTGAAAATGATCAAAGAAGGTGAGGGAAGACATTATTTTCAATCACTACATTACAAGGAAAGATGGGATGCACTCAACACAGTTGTGTCTACGCCCAAGTTGTGCAGTGTGGTAGCCACAAATTTTAATCTGAACTAGCTATCCCTAAATGAAATTAAGAAGGTTCATCCTTTCAAGTGCCAAAGAACCACCTATGCCTGTAACTACCATATTAGACAGCCCCATTCTAGAACGTTCTGTGAGTACAGAAGATGCTATTGGAAAGCGCCACTCTAGATACACTTGGAGAAGAGCAAGAAGCTATTCCAGGCTTTTATTCAGTGGGTCCTCCTCAGACCTGCTGTTGCTTAAGGCAGACTTATAATAATGATCAGAACAAGATTCCCTGGGCTTCCCTTCACAGGAGGATGAACTCAGCAGGCCAGGGACAAACAGGATTCTCCTTTAAGTTCCACTACCTAGAAGGATTCACAGGAAGCATGAGGGCCCTAGATTAACCCACTCTGGAACAAAGTGGGAGCTTGGTTAGCTCATCCAACCACTGACCTCTGTAGCTTAGAGTGGGTATCTTAGTCACTTTCCTCATCACTGGGACAAAATACCCAACATCCATAACTTAATGGAGAGGTTCACTTTAGCTCATGTTCCAGAAGTTTCAGTCCTTGCATGGTCAGCTGGCTCTAGGGCAGAGGCAGCGTGGTGGAAGACCTGGGTGGAGGAGAGCTGCTCACTCCATGGCAGAGGAACAGGAAGCAGAGGGGGAAGGGAAGAGCCAGGAAGGGAGGTAAAACCTTCCTAGTCATGCCCCCAGGGACCTGGGCCTTCTGGCCAGTGTCCCCATCCCCAGTCAGCCCAGAAACCATCACCACTCTGCACAGTAGTGTCGCTGAGTTAGGATGTGCAGGTGTGTTAAC